GTGGAAATCTGTGCCCAGATGGGTTGGGGAACTCCGTCAACTCCTTCGCCGTGGAAAGCATCGCCTCCAAAGACGGCCTCGTCCGAGCCGTCGCCTGCGAAAAGCCTTGGGTTTGAGGTCTCCTCCCCCTCGGCTGAGTCGATTGCACCCAGAACGCCCACTACCATAGCACCCGGAACTCCTACTGCTCTAGGGCCCTCCAGTCACGCCCTCGCCACCCTGGATTGTCCAGCAGCAGCCTACAACCGCAAACAGGCCGCCATGTTCTTGAATCGACTCCAGAAGAATCCCAAAAGGATGGAAGCTTTGCCTGAGGATTTGGCAAAGTTGCTCGGAGACGAAAGCCAAAAGAGCAAGGCCATCGACATGATTGTCGATGCGGCAGGCAACGAAAAGGAGTTGGTCGGGCAGTGGACTGCATCCTCCATCGCTCTTTCGGCGGACCTGGAAAAAGGACGAATGATTCCGCTTACGGAACAGGAGTTGATCAGCAGGTATGGAGCAGTAAATGCTGCCAGGGTGATGGAGGAAAAAAAAAGGCTGGCCTGGAGGTGGATGATCCGAACTGTAGAGGTTTGAAGCTCTACTTGCACAACCAGTGGCAGAGGGAATGGACGAAAGGCACTGAGGAGAGCTCCTGGCTGGCATTCAGGTTTCATGCATGTGGCTGTCTTAGCTTGCTATATTTTGTAGTCTTCCGGCCTGCACTGATTGGAACACCATCCGAGGATTTTCTTTCGAGGCCCGTGGAGAAGTCCGAGCGGGCGATGCAGCCCAAGTCGCACAAATGTTGAAGGTGCCCCGTCGGCAGCTGCAAGGGACGGCACCTGCCAAGGGCGAGAAAGATGAGGATGTGCCCATGGAACCAACGTCACATCCGGTGGGCAACAAAAAGGGCAGAGGAAAGGGTAAGAGTAAGAACGAAAACAAGAATGGCCCGCCAGATGAAGCCGAGAAAGTTGGCCCGTTGGATGTCATGGACAAAGCCTCTGATCTTCGTGCCAGGGCATTGGCCAAGGCCAATCACGCCGGCTCCATCATGAAGCAGCTCAAAACCGTCACCTATGCCGCGGAGTGCTTGAAGGAGGTGACCTC